TTATTTTGTATCTAGAAAGTTGTTCTTTTTGTGATAAAAAAATATAGGGTCCCCTATATTTTTTGCTCGCATCAAGGGTACGCCGCAAAATTTGAACAATTGGGTCTTAAATGGCAATTGGAAGAACTGAAAGAAAGCACGATCGCAAGATTCTTGGGAGGACTAAACTCGTCTATATCAAACATTGTCCAACTCCAGCCTTATTGGACCTTGGCCGATGTAATCAACCTCTCTTTGAAGGTAGAAAAGCAATTGAAGCAAGGAAAATGAAGAAATCCCATTGGAGATCAGCTGGCGGGAACAAGTAGCTCGAATGGTCCTGGACCAGATCGAAGAAAAACCCCACCAAACGTAGCCATGGGTTCGGTTCGTCCACGTTTGGCCACGAACAATCCTACCACCTATTCGTTTCTCGCTAGAAAATGTTTTAAATGTCACGGGTTCGGCCTCATCGCAGTTAATTTCTCCACAAGGCGATTGGTCACATTAGTGGAAGAAATTCCCCCGGATGAAGATCAGTGTGAAGGAGATGCAAACAACCCACAGGAGATGGAACAAATCATACATGCGGATGACGGAGAACTGCTCGTAGTCAGGCGCCTTTTGAATATTCATTATGAACCTGAACACAAGTGGTTGAGGCATAATATTTTCAGAACGAGATGCACCGTCCAAGGCAAAGTCTGTAATCTAATCATCAATAGTGGTAGCTGCAAGAACGTGGTATCTTCTTTAATGATAGAGAAACTACATCTGATGACACAATTACATCCGCAACCATATAAACTAGCCTTGCTAAAGAAGGGCAACAAAATTGAAGTCAACCGACAATGCCTAGTACAATTCTCTATGGGCAAGAATTTTCAAGAACAAGTACTTTGTGATGTAGTACCAATGGATGCATGTCATATACTGATGGGCCGACCATGGCAATTTGACCAAAGAACGACCCACGATGGGTTTCATAATACTTATTCCTTTCAACAGGATGGTCGAACCATGGTATTAACACCATTCAATGATACCCAAGCCAGAGAATTTCCGGACCAAGCTGATAAATGATCTCACACGCCTCCACCTGCAACCCAGTCAGCCAACTTGTTCGTTCAGTCCATTAACGCCGCCCAAATTGGATTTATGTTACTGCTATTGACCGAAAATAATAGTAAAAAATAGCAGCATCCACCAGAGATACAACCTCTTATGCAGGAGTTCATGCAAGTTTTTCCTGACAAGCTTCCAAAGGGTTTGTCGCCCATTCAAGAGATTCAACATGCCATTGATTTTTTACCAGGATATGTTATTCCTAATAGGCCCGCTTACCGAATGTCTCCCCAAAACTATGAAGAGTTACAAAGGCAAATAAAAGAACTGATAATTGCAGGCTTTGTGATACCTAGTGCCAGTCCCTGCGCCGTACAAGCTCTCCTAGTTCCCAAGAAAAATGGCACGTGGCGTATGTGTATCGATAGCAGGGTCGTTAACAAAATCACCATCAAATACAGGTTTCTTATTCCCCGTGTAGACGATTTATTTGATCAACTAAGTGGTGCTTGTGTCTTTTCTAAATTAGATCTCAGAAGCGGCTACCATCAAATCAGACTGAGGTCTGGGGACGAATGAAAAATAGCATTCAAGATACGAGATGGACTATATTAATGGACTGTAATGCCATTCGGGTTATCCAACGCACCTAGCACCTTCATGCGTCTTATGAATCAGGTTTTTCATTCCTTCTTAAATAAATTTCTTGTTATTTATTTTGATGATATTTTGATTTACAATCAGAACATGGAGAACATTTGCAACATCTAAAACAAGTTTTTCAAATACTATTAGAACAACGCTTGTTCGCTAATACTACCAAATGTGAATTCCTAGTGAACACCATCAAGTTCTTGGGCTTTGTCATCTCACCTGTAGGACATGAAATGGATTATGACAAAGTTAAAGCCATTCAAGAGTGGCCAACACCGACCTCTATAAATTACATCTGGCGGTTCCACTGATTGGCATCTTTTTACCGTCGGTTCATTAAGAACTTTAATTCCACTGCAGCTCCCCTAACCAAAATCCTTAAGAAACCGCACTTTGAATGGACCAAGGAAGCCCACAACAGTTTCGAACAACTCAAAAGCCTGATACAATCAGCTCAGGTTCTAATACTTCCAAATTTCTCTCAAGTCTTTGAAGTTGAATGTGATGCATTTAACAATGGCATCGGAGCTGTACTAAGTCAAGGGGGACATCCTATAGCCTATTTTAGTGAGAAACTAAATGAATCCCGTCAAAAATACTCCACGTACGACAAAGAATTCTACGCCATTGTCAGAGCCTTGCAATATTGGAGCCACTATCTACTAGGGCAAGAGTTTGTTCTCTTTACAGACCACCAGTCTCTCAAACTCAATGGAAGATATGCTAAATGGGTGGAATATCTATCTTCTTTTCACTACTCCCTAAAGTACAAATCTGGATCCTCCAATCAAGTAGCCGATGCCCTTAGCCGACGATTCATGCTGCTAAATACATTACAAGTAAAAACTATTGGATTTGAGGTTATGAAGGAATTATACGAAAAAGATCCTGATTTTTCCAATATATGACAGCATTGTCAAATTCAACCATACAAACTCTTCCATATCCAGTAGGGTTATCTGTTTCAAAGGAATAGACTATGTGTACCCCAAAATTCGATGCGAGAAGTTATTATTTTTTAAAACCATGACGAAGGGCTATCCGGCCATTTTGGTAGAGACAAAACCATTGCTATGGTTCAAGAAAATTTCTATTGGCCTTCCTTAGATAGAGATGTGAACCGATATGTTCAGCGATGTAATATTTGTAAAAGGGCCAAAACAACACAACACAATATCAGCCTTTATCTGCCCCTACCCGTACCCAACTCACCAAGGACAAATGTCAGCATGGATTTTGTGTTAGGACTCCCTCGCACCCAACGGAAAAAGGATTCCATAATGGTCGTGGTTGACCGTTTTTCAAAAATGGGACATTTCATACCTTCCCACAAAACTTCGGACGCTTCTCATGTGGCTAGAATTTATTTTCATGAAATAGTTAGATTGCATGGCATACCCAAAACAATCACATCTGACCGAGATGTCAAATTCATTAGACATTTTTGGAGAACGTTGTGGTCAAAACTGGGAACTAAGCTACAATTCAGTTCTACTACTCATCCTTAGACAAATGGGCAAACATAAGTAGTTAATAGAAGTTTGGGAAACCTCCTAAGATGTTTTGTTGGAAAAAGCATTCGCTTATGGGATGAAATTCTGGGACAAATAGAATTTGCTTACAATAAATCTCGTAATCAATTGACGGGCCGGAGTCCTTCTGAAATTGTTTATGGACAAAATCCTACGGGACCTCTTGAACTAACACCACTTGTCTCTTCTACAGTTCATAGCATAGATGTTGAAGCCCGCGTCAAAGAAATACAACAACTCCACAAGCAGGTTCAACAACAAATTCTCAAACAAAATGCTAAGTACCAAAAGCAAGTAAACAAGTCTAGACGATTTGAACATTTCAGCAAAGGAGATTTAGTCTGGATAAGATTAAACAAAGAAAGATTCCCCAACAAAAGATTCAACAAGCTCCAGCCAAAAGCAGAGGGACCTTTTCGTATCCTTAAATGCATTAATGATAATGCTTTCCAAATTGAACTACCTGGGAATTTACAAATCTCACCTATTTTTAATGTTGCAGATCTTTCACACTATTATGACTCAACCGAGACTTCCAATTCAAAGATACAAGGCAAGGAACAGCAAATGAGCTATATGGAAGCCAACATTCAAGGCCATCATACAGCGGAATCTTCTCAAGACCGGGCGAATGACGCAAGAGCTGAACCTCCACCCGATTCAAACGGGTTATTAAAGCAAAGCCCACCCAGACCAGACTAATATGCGTCTGGTCCAGTTTGCCTTGAGTCTAAGGGTGTATTAAATCTTATTTGACGTCTATATATATTCGAGAGCCCTTAAGGACAGGACAGAGAGTTTTGCATTATGTTTCCATTCTCGCATTCAGTCCGTCAGTGCCCGTACCCTGGGTTGGCAGCCAGGTGGTGATCTTGTCATTTAATAAAGTTCTTCTTTCTTTCCCCATTGCTCTTCTTCCTCTCGTTTTTCCTGTTTAACACTTTCTGTCCGTTGTTTGAGGAGTCCGTCCGGTGTCATATCTTCACCTCAACAAGATGCTACATATATAACTTTATTTTTAGGAATAGTTATCTACTATCAACTAAGATAAAGAATGAAGGATTTAAAATATTATGAATCAGGATTATCTCAAATAGAATCTTTTAAGTTGAAAATGGAAGTAAGCCAAAAGTTCTTTTCTATTCATTGAATACTCTGAGAGGTGCAAATTAACAAAATTGCTCCCATGTCAAATTCAATATTTCAACTGCCTTTTTTCTTGTGAGTTCATCTTTGCTCTTTTTCACGTTACCCAAAAACTGTAGGATAATTGCAAAAGCACAGACCCTTAGCATGGAGTTTCATCTTTTGCTCGCATGTGAGGTGAAAGAAAAAGTCATAATCCAAATCCACTTCTACGAGGAAACTATACACGGACAAAAATAGTGCCATCATTAGCCAAATACGTACAAATACTTGAAAACCTCATTCAGCCATATTCTCCGAGGACACAAAGAGCAAACATTCCAAATAGCTCAACCGTTCAAAGTACATGCGATCAGCTATCAAACACAAATGCAACTAATAAAGGTAAAAATATGACCCGAATTTCATACATCATCCTCAAAATCTAAAAAATTTCCGAATTTATGAAGATTGAAAGAACAAAACAAAGCACACCCCTGCTTACAGAATCATCACCTACACTTAGCAGCTATACTATGATAATGCCAATAATGAGAAATCCTACGAAAATCCAATGATGAATGGAGATCAACGAACACTAGATCGGCGCGTAGATAAACGAAATGTGGATCGAAAGAAGCTTACCATATATACTTTCCAGAAGGATCGTTCCACAAAATGCGAAAAAGGAGGTAGAAAGAGGGTTAGGGTTTGCGAAAGAAGAATGGAGTAATTGCGTGATAGCTCATCTGCTGATTTGAACAAGAGCTGGAAGAGCAATTTTGTTCATTTCTGGAAAAGCTTTACTATGCCTTAAGATTACAAGTTACAGGTACTTGCTAGCAATAACCTGAAAGCATTTCAGTGACCCACAACCATTTAGTGGTGTTGGGATTTACTGTTAGAATCTAACAGCGAGCACCATTAAGTAAAAAATTCCTTGGATAATTTCCCTGCAGGATTAATTATTTTGTGTTGTTACCGTGCGTCGTTCGGAGGTAAATTAGGATATGGCATATCATTTTTTTATTGTGTACTGATACTTGTACCGGATAACATGGCATATTCTGATTCACCTCTTGACGATCCGGTCACTGCACAAAATAATTTCTCCTTCAAATTAGAATGATATCCATTATGTTCAAGATGTCTTTAATATTTTTTATCAGTTTAATTTCTTATTAGAATTTATGTTTTAAAATTATTTGAATAATTTTAATGTCTTCTATATTTCAATATTTATATTATATTTTAAATAAATATATTATAAATTAAATTTATAATAAAAACTCATGGTACACAAAAAATATAGACAAAAATGCTAAGAGATGTTAAAAAAACTTGGAATTGTTATGCGCCAAGAATAATAAAAAGTAAATTCTCTCATAAAATAAGGTCATGTTTTAAACAAGGCTTTGAAATCGGACCGGTCAATGAACCGGAAGAAGAAGATGTTAGCAGTTCGATGGTTCGACCGGGGTCGAACCGGATTACGTAATAAATATTTATTATATATAAATATGATAATGATTTATTAATTGTTATAGTTTGAAAGGATTCAACCATATAAATTTTTATCAGACATATACAAGATGTCAAAATGCTAAACTCCACTTGCACTAAAAATTTGAACAGATTTATATTCTTTACAGTACAATACATTTGCAATCATTCAAACAGTTTTGACGCCAACATTCGAATAGAATAAGAGTAGGGGAGGTTGGAATTTTGGTTTCTGCTTGTGTGTGAAGCAAATGGCGTGAGTAACAGAGAAGAATGGGAGCAGCAAGTGATCGTGTGTAAAGATTTATAGCCTTGTGATTTCAAACTTTGAGAAAATCTAAACAATACTATAAATCAGGTTAAGGAAACACAATCCAAGGAGAAGTAATACCGTATTACAGCGTTTATTAAAACAAATCCAAAATTCATAAATCAAAAGTTGTTTTTAGGTATTGAAATGCTCAAATGCCACCACAATCTCACAAAAGTCGATAATACATATATACTCACCGCAAGCGATTTTGCTTCTCGAATTAGATGAGACGCCGGAGGCGGAGAAGACGAAGGAGGCGGAGAATGTCAGCCACGCGAGAAGAATAGGGTTTTTTTTTTTCGCGCCTTGCAATGCCACACGAACGAATACAAAGGATCCGCTATCCGCTCATAACGCATCCCAACCGTCCATTTTTTTTAGCAAACTGACCAATTACAGGAAACCGGAACCGGTTCGCCGGTTCGGCGGTCGAACCACCGATTCGAGCGGTTTGATGCCAGTTTTCAGCAAAAAAGGTTTTAGTTTGAACCGTGATCGGCCGGCCGGCCGGTTCGCGGCTCAACCGGTTGAACCGGCCAGTCCGGTCCGATTTTAAAAGCCTTGGTTTTAAATGAATATGTTATAATTTTTTTTGTAAAGATATTCGGCCAAAATTTAATTAGAACGTTATCAAAGTCATTAATTTATTAGATAAATATAATATAAAAATTAATTAAATTTGATATTACTCTCATCTAAAAATATAATTCAACAACTTTAAGATATATCTTGGATTAAAAATATAATTTTAATATATGAAGTTAATTTTCCGTCAACAACACAATCGATACTGGTAAACATATACATCACTTTTCAGAAATTTTTGTACTAAAAATGGTTGTATAAAACAGTAAAAAGCCGTCCCAAATGAAACTTTAATGAGAACAAGATCATTTGAAGTAAAGATGAGATTTGAACATGAAGAAAATGATGTTATTGCTATTGGTCTTAGGCTTCAGTTGGGACGGCTTTTTTACTGTTTTTTAAAGCAATAAAACAGCTGTCTCAAATGAAGACTTAGGCTTCGTTTGGGACGGCTTTCTTCCTGCATCTTAAAGCAGCTTTTTAATACAAAATTTAAAATTTTTGTACTAAAAAGCCGCTTTAAGAAGCAGGAAGAAAGCCGTCCCAAACGAAGCTTTACTCTCTTTATATGCTATAGTAATCTAAATGGGAGCTTCTTATGCGATGGCCTAAAGCATCTACTTTTGGTAAAGCCAAAACTAATAGCACCTTTTCTTTGAAGGAGTGGAATATACTAAGTCTATGACATTCCCTTTCAATAAGCACAAACAAGAAAACAAAATTTTATCTATTTATTCTCCAAATATTTCTACAGCCTAAAAAAATGGAATATTCAAATATTTACATTTAAAGAGGAAATTTATCCATATCTACAATAAAATAAATGGACCAAAAACTTGGGACAATGAGGCAAAAGACCAGATTTAATCCAGAGATTGTGTAGAATACCAAATACTCTTACCCAAATCAACATATCCTTCATCTTCATGGCCCTCAACATCTTCACTTGCTTAACTTCCATGTTCATCATAACTTTAGTCACATAATCTTCAAACATTACAGATGATTTAAAACATGTAAAGAATATTTGGCAGGTTTAATGTTCTCCATAAGCCATCTCCTATTTTGGTCAAAATGCCAACTAATTGCAGCGAGTAGTTCATCTGTTTCAGGCTTTCTTTGGAGCAGCTTTTTATTATTTTTTAAAACATTTTTTTTTTTAAATAAACTTTTTTGTTTAAAAACTACTTTAAGAAATAATAAGAAAATCGTCCGAAACGAAGTCCGAATCTTGACATCAGAAACATGTCTAATCAGATAAATGCAAATGTTTCTGTTCCTCCGAAACAAACTTCAAAGCAGGCATCGTATTCTCCAACCAAGTTTCTCTTCAAATATTGGGATAAGAATCAATATGATGACCCAATTTCTTACAGTCATGATAAAGAAACCTATTCCAACCTTCCCAAAAAAATGGCTTTACAGACACTTGAAGCAGGAGACTTTCCGAATCCTCTATAACATAATTCCAGAAACAGCTATTGGGGATAGAATGGAGTCCTAAAGAGTTTAACAGAACGATGTCATTTACTCTATGCTGAATTGTGCATAAAGAACTGGTAGTGGGAAATGGAAAGTGGAAGTAAATCCAAAAAATGACACGCTGAGATTGGTCGAGTAGTTGGAATCCCTCTTTAAAGATTCTTTTCATGAAGTTAAATCACTATGATTTCCATACTGGATGTTATTTTACATGCTATGTTTGTTGTTTATGATAATTGAAAATAGATGTTTTCATGGAATTAGAAGTCTCTAATCTTCCTCAGTTGTTATAGTTTTATCTCACATCTTTTCAAAGTTGCAGAAATTCAGTTGACCGATGACCATCATGTTCAACATGCTTTTGTGATAGTAATTAATTATATTACTATGAAGGCTACTTACCAAAGCCCTACATGAGGTCCTGGTTGGATACCCATTGGGTACCCACGCTCCGCATGAGCAGGCTTCATCCACCCACACCCACTCATGGTGAGTTTCCGGATGCCGTACCCACCCATACCCACTCACTTTCCACGCTTTTTGAATGAAGTTCGCCACGAACTGTTGGCCTTGAGGCTTGTTGCCCTTTACTCTGACTTCAAACTTTCAATCTGCATATCAGAATTTACTGTGTTTGTAGCGCAGTTCAGTGTTGTGCATTGCATAGTGAGGATTGCGTGTAATATACGGCATACAGTAATTAGCAATGTAAATCGGTTTATTCCCCGATCTTGAGTACCCACCCATGAGGTCATGAGCATACCCATACCCACCCATACACATTGAGTATTGGTGAGTATTTGATTGGGTGTGGTTATGGGTACCCAATGCAGAACTCTGTTACTTACATTAAACCTTTGTTACATGAAAATAGCAGCTTAAACGGTGGTGAACTCTCCAGTGCAAGTAATTTCCAAAAACATCGAACTGTTTAGGCCTCAAGTCATGGAACAAATTCTCTTATATTCATTTAGTTGAAGATTTTCAGGAACACTTGAACTGAATCAGCCTCTTTTACCTATTTAGATATGATCTCTCAGCATGGCAAAAAGTTCAATTTCCACAAAAACTACATTCAGCACATCCCCAAACCTCTCAGCTACCCAATTTTGTGAACATTTAGTTTGTGCCACTACTTGCTACTGATAGCATTGCCATGTCAACTATTAAGGAGAACTATTGGAGTCTCCTTGGTCCTCTGCAAACTCTTCTCTGTACATCTCTTCTATCATGGGTTTCCATAACCGAACACGAGCATTTATGAACCAATTCGAAATCTGAACAATTCAAAAACAAATACAAGTAACGGATACTGGATCATGCAGCAGGCCTTTTAGAAATAACAGAATACTTTAAAGAAGCAAAATTACTTGGTTTCTTGTCAAGCCTGTTTGCGAAGCCAAGAAAAGCTTTTCATTGTCACTTGGGTAACTGGAATGGAGAAGAAAACATCAAATCTAAATGCAATATTAAGGGAAATAAAAATGATGACATGAAATAAAAGCTTACGGGTGAAGAAAATGCTCGAAAAGCCAAGCTCGAAGCACCATAACTGAGTCTTCCGGTAGTCCTCTGAGTGGCCTCCAGATTTGTCCAACATGGATCAAGCCCAGGTGTTGCAGTGATTCCCTCTTTGGTTTAAGGTTTTTTGGCATATCTTTGGAAAAAGCCTCTCTTGAAGACTCTATATGATTGATAATGGATTCCCTAAGGTTAGCAAAATGTTTAGACATTGCTCGTGAGGTAAGAGCTGTGTATGCAGCAGCAGACCCAGGACCACCTACAGCTTCAAAGGATGTTACTAGTTCATCCATTCGATGGAAATATATCTTCTGTCGCTTCTCAAGCTGGAAAGTTGTATAGTTAAGAGTTAATTTCGTGGGAACTATCGATTAGAACAGTAAGGCCCCACATCTACATCTAAATCTGTCAATTATTTGGTAATAGAAGGAATTTACTTTCACTCAAATGTTTAAATAAAATTAAATCAAGCAAAGGTGATGAAAGTGAGGTAAATAAGTATATTTACTACGACATCAACAGACACCATGGTAATATAAACTTAACAATTGTGTTTCTTCCATTCACTTTATGTTTTAATTCATCTACAAAAGATGGACAGCATATGACTTCATTTCGGATGGCTTTTTTATTGCTTCTTAAAGCAACTTTTTAGAATTTTTGTACTGGAAAGTTGTTTTAAGGAGTGGTAAGAAAACAGTCCCAAATGAAGCCTATATTTTCATTCACCACCAATCAATTGGATGAAATTTTTTGCTTAATGAGGTTATGAAATAATGAGACATTAAACAATCTCGTCTTCTTCAGTCAAGAGAATTTCAGTGGTGTTGATGAGATCCTCATCCTACCAACCAATTATTCATTGTTTAAAAATTTGCAAATACAATATCACCAACAATCAAACATAAAGAAATTGCACATTAAACATCAATCTTTTTTAGAGAAAAACTGGCATTAAATATATAACAAATAGGGAATTGGAAGACCAAACCTCTTCCTGCAGAGTAAAAAGTTTATTCATTCTATTGACCTCTTGTTCTTCCCTTGACAAGTGCACAGTGTGTGCGTTCTCTTTAATCTGATTCTTCCTGTGCGCATCCTTTTCTGAAGATGGCTCGGGAACAAAGTTACACACACAAACAGCTTCATCAAGTAACTGCTGAGCTGCTTTAAGATATGGAGACTTCTGAAGAACACTCATGACTGGCGCCATGTTATCGAACTTCGTATTTGAGCATCTTGAATTATAGATACTACCATCCACATCTTGATCACATATAATGCCGTCATCACTTAAACGTTCGGCGCAAGAACAAGAGGGCTCACACATAAGTTCAATCAAAGATTTGTTTCTCATAACATTTTCTACCATCTGTGCTTGATTATAATCGTATGGCCTAACATTGTTAGGCTCCAGCTCCAGCTCAGGTCCAAGGCTTAGTGACAAGCCATGGCCCTGTATATGGTCAAAGCTTGAGAAATCATCCTCTTTACATCTCACTGAAAAAGGCTCAACAGATCTACGGATCTGTGTGTCATGAGGCTGAAAGCTGGATGGTAAGCTATGAGGCCGAACCAACCCACGATCTACACTATTCCAGTGAGAGCAATAACAAATTCCTCCAGGATGAGATTGTCGGTTATTCATTTCTGAGACACCAATCGGTTCCTTTGGTAACTCTTGTGGCACCATGGCTGAAAGTGTTGTAACGGAATGAGTGTTATTAATGGTTTGAAGTAAAGAATGACAATGCAAAATAAATACTTTGAGATATTTTTCTACCACTTCATTTTCAGAAGAGAGAGCAAGTAGAATGAGAAATTGTAGAGACCTCTATGCATTAGTTGTAAATATGAAAGGCCAACATGGTTAGTATGGAGAAAAAAATGTAAAATGATCTGAAAATTAAGAATGTTTTAGCATAAAGAGAAGAGCTGAGCTATCTTTCCACATAGTATAGTTCTTGGTATGGTTTTCAACTTATCATACACAATCTATCTTAAGGGGGTAAAAAAAAAAAGCAAAAGCTTTATGTCCTAGAAGAAAAAAACAAGTATACAACATCTATGTCCCATCATTGTCCCTTTGGGCATCATATTAGGGTTTGGATTGAAAGGTAAAAGTAGAGTTGATGCACCTAAAATGAAGGAATGGCATGCTAAGGCAACTGAAGGAGAATTGGTAAAATATCAATAAACCAGAAGAAAACTAGAGAATCCTACGTTAACTTGGTGCCCAGCTTTCCACTAACAATAAATAAGACCTAAACTTAAAAAATAGAGAAAAAATAGAAACATGATGAAAAGCATTAAAAACAAAGGCTTCAATTCAACAGAAGCAACTCTACAAATTCAATTTAAACCTGAGAAGGAATGAGAAGAAAATGCAGTTACTTCAACCGAAGCCCTTCCTCAGCCAAGCCGTCTTCAACCTCCTTCATAAGAACCAAAACCCTCACCAAGTTTTCATGACTAACAAAAAGAAGATAACTTCAGAAGAAAGGAAGAGGGCAAAACCAAATTAATAGCAAAAAAGAGAAAGAGGGAAGAAAAATTGGGCAGATATTAAGCGGTCCCCTACCTGATCAGCAGTAAAGAGACCAAAAGGCCAAACAAAGGAATCAAAATTTAATCTTTAGTGCTTTGCTGCTGGTGACTTAAAAAAGGTCACTGACCCAGCCAATGCCCTCTTCCTCCGTGTCCATCTGCGCCTGAAATGATAGAAGTTGTGTAAAAGAAAGAGAAGATAGAGAGGGTGGTGAGAAAGAGGTGGGGAATTGAGATGTTTGTAAGAGGATGTCTTACTCTGTGAAAGCGAAGGGGCAATGTCATTGTCAGTTTGGCGCAAAAGGACCGTCTTTCTCCATTTTGGCAATAGAATGACTCAGAGATTGAGAAAGTTTGTTGCAGAAAAGCTAGAAATAAGCTCGATTGGGAGAAGCTTTCTTGCGATCGTGATGCTTAATCAGATTGTTACTCTAATTACTTACCGTGAGAGATTTGGTTTTGGTTAGGAAATGCCAGGCTTCATGCCCAAAAAAGACGAAAACACACAGAATTAATCGGATGATGATGTTGATTTCTTGGAGTTAGTAAGAAATTTGTTCATGCCAAATGCTGGAAAATAAAAACAAAAAAATGGCCTGAGATTTCGTATGATTAGGGTTAGTTACTTAGTTTGCCTCTAGTAGATCCTTCATGCGTCTAATTGGCGAGTTGTTCTTCACCAATAAATTTGAAATTTTGAGTGAATGCAAATTCTTTAATTTTTTTTTATTAAAAGTCTAAACTTCCAACAAATAAATTAAGATGAATTACATTATCAATAAATCATTTATACACTCCAATGGCTTCTTCTTCTTCCTCTTTTATGATCAATTTGTTATGCATTAGTCATTTGTTGAGATATTTATTATCATATTTTAATGCAATATGTTATATTTAACTTTGTCATTAATATGTGATTAAAACTCAACTTCATCAAGCATGTATTTCATGTATTTTTATGCACATTTGAATAAAAATTTTTCAAAATTCAAATTTGGACTATTCAAACTCTTATTCCAACAAACTTATAGTAAGACTGAATATATATATATATATATATATATATATATATATAAAAGACAAACTCATTCATAACAAAAGTATTCAATCAAACCCCAAAGGAGCTAAATTCAAACACATAAAATATATTTGAAAATTTTAGGATATTATTTGAAAGATCAAATAATTTTTTAATTTTGCATGCTTATAACCAAATCAAGCATCTTGGCGAGACAAATGCAACGACCCAAAATTGTTTAATTCTAACATTATCAAGTCACTTAAATGTCAAAAGGAATGGTCTATGATCATGAGAATTAGTAGAGGTTGTCTGATAGAGTATTCTAGATTTTGATTATACTTATTGGACATGTCACTCTTAAAAATATATAAATAAGCTCTACTCCTTACATGAAGGGGGAGCTCAATTGAAATTTAGGAGACCTTAGAAGCTTAAAAATACTCAAAGCTCGACCCAAAGACCATTGCTAGATAATCGATTGGCTATCACCATATGACCATCACCACCAGAACACTTGTAAAAACTACTTCTACAATGATTGGATTGCTTGATGACACAAATAAAACATGGTAATATTTATATGTTCATTACATGCTCGTTAAGTCTCTGTGAATATTTTTTAAGTTACTCATGTTTAATTTGATCTTAAGAAGTTGTAGAAGGAATTTGAAATTTAAAAATGTGTCCAATAGGAAATTTCTTGGGAGCATTGTGGAGTTTGAGGGAAGTAGCGTCATTGCGTTAAGGTATATGTCTTGAGTACTAAAAAAATTTTCCAAGGAGTGTTATAGTGCTGAAATGGATGCATTGTGACACTGTGCTCTTTATCTACTAGAATAAAATTTTGGATGCATGGAGAGTGCTATAGCACTGAGGCTTTTGTTTATGAGAAGTTATTATAATGAATTTTTCTTTGGAAGTGATGTGACATTGGAAAGTTAGTGTCATAGCGCTACGTAAAGTTAAGTGTTTTGTATAAAAAATATAAATCCATTTCCTCACCCCATCCTTTTTTGTTTCTGCCATCCCATAGACAGAGAGGAGCTAGGAGAAAAGAAGAAAAAAGGGGAGAAAAAATGAGAAGAAAATTTAAGGTTTGGAGGCTGTAGAGCCAATTTGGTCTGTCGAGCCAGTTGAGAAAATGATTTATATTGAGGCAGGTTATTGATAAATTGCTTTAGATTTCTATTTTGACAAATATGTGGGTATTTATGGGGTTTTATTTGATTTGGTTTGAAACAAACACAATTTTACGAAGATTTAGAAAGTTTTCATCGTATAATTTTTGGTATATTGTAGAATGGAATATTCTTGTCATGTTACTAGGAAAAATATAAATTTTCATTTGATTTGCATACTTTTTCAAGTATTTCTATAAATTTGTTGACATTTATAAAAATTGCTAGAGTATAATAAATGCCTCAAAAGGATACAATGAATAATCCTAATAAATGATTTTCTGATTAGTTATTATTTAATATCTCGTGCCCAGTTTTGAAAATTAATATAGTAACCATTAATCTCATAAATTAATATAGACGTCAATTTAATGAAATAATGACCTATCATGTCATAGTAGTAGTTTATCGAGGCATCGGCCAGGCCGATTGACACTGTTCAAAATATCGGCCGGAAAATAGTTCTGGGAACCGTCCAGGACGATCAAAATTGGTCTGATCGTCCCGGGACGATCTGGCGATCGGCCGGGCCGATCTTAGTATTATAAAGCTGAAATCAGTTGTTTTGAAGAGAGAGAAAATCATAAAAAAACGAAAATATCTTTTGAGGAGAGAGAAAGTCGAGGGATTTTTGGAAAAAGTTGATTTTCGGACGACGGGGAGCTGTTTTCGTCCGAAGAGACTGTTCGAGAAATTGCTGTATGCAAGGTAAGGCACATTCCGCCTTTCTTAATTTTCAGAACCGTCGTGTTTGGCGGTGTTTTCTGTCCGGATTTTGTTTCCGTTAGTGATTTTCGTCCGTATCTTTCGATTGGTTCAGTTTTTACCACGTAACTTTCTGTATATTGTTGACGTGCCGAGTGTGCACATTTTGGTTATTTTCTGAAGATTTTTGTGCAGGTATTTTTTATTCGACGATGTTTTTAGTCGACTGGATTTTTCTGTGTAATTGGAAATTGTCTGTGCAGTAGAATAAATGTTCTGAAATATTGTTATCTATATTCTGTGCAAATTTGGTATTTTGTGATTTTCAGGAAAAATTGTGTAAATTCTGTGTACTGCCGTTGTGCTGCCCGATTTTTTTCTGATTTCTGATTTGTCCGGATTTATTCTGAATTAATATGCTATATGTATATGCTATAAAAAGGGATTTATAAGGGGCCTGGATCCTATGAGATTCAGTTAGTGTCTGGGAAAAACTTAGATGAGCTCAAGTTGGAGAAATATCTGTTCTTTTCTGAATCCGATGAATTCTGTTGTTCCGGTGCCGTGAGCACACTTAGCTATTAATTACTCAGAGAATTTCTGGTGTCGTGAGCACAAGGGAGACATAAGGGTCAGAATCCGTAGTGATTCTGTTTAGTTTAGTTTAGCTATTAATTAAATATCTGATATCTGATTTGATATGATTCTGATTTCAGTATCTGTTCTGTAAGCAAATCTGATTCTGATTTCTGTACGATATGAATCTGATTCTGATCTGTATGATATGATTTCTGTACGATTCTGATTCTGTTGCTGATATGTCTGATCTGTTCTGTTTCTGATTTGATACGACTTCTGTTTCCGTACAGTTCTGTTTGATTTGATATTTGTTCAGTTCAGTTCTGTTTGATTTGATCTGTCCGTATCTGTTCTGATTTGATCTGTTTCGTTCTGATCTGTCCGATTTGATATTTGTCCGATTCTGTTCTGATTTCTGTACGGATTTGTCTGATGTGTTGGTTTTGAGATTCTGAGAATTTTGATTGGAGGTTTGTTGCTTTGCTGAGCTGTTGAGCTCACTCTTGTTTTCTGGTAGTTTTCAGGTTCTGGGAAAGGAAAGGAAGTCCAGGAATAGATTTCAAAGTCTGATCCGTAGGTATTGTTTTGTACCTTTTGATTTTTGTACAGTCATGGCTTTTCTGCTCTATCTTTTCTTTCTGTCTGAGCCATGTACTATATTTGTAGATGATTGTTTTGAGGAAAAAGAAAAGATATATGTTTTGTTCCGCTGTGTTTGATGATTCATAGTAGTTCTGTGTCTGTGTGTCTGTTTGAGTTAAATTATTTGGAAGATTCAGTTCCGAACCAAATTCCATAACCAGATCCTGGTCAGTAGGTCTGTTTGTTCGTTCCAGTCGCGACCCGGTGCGAGCGGGATCCGTTCCGGATCGGGTCGGGTCGTGACACACTCCCTCTCTCTCATCTCAATGCTAACTCTTGTTCTCTCTCTCCCTCCCTCTCTTTTCTCTCTCTCTCTCTCTCACTCTCCCTCTCTTTTCTCTCTTTCTCCCTCTCTCTTGCTCTCTTATATATCTCTCTATCTATCTATCACTCTTGTTCTCTCTCTCTCCCTCTCTCTCTTTTATCTCTCCCTCTCCCTCTCTTTTCTCTCTCTCAATCTCTCTCTTCCTATCTTGCTCTAACCCAAAGTCACAATCAACAAATTAGATCTACCATTACTAAATTAACATTTAATAAATAGAAAATTTAGATCTACCCAAATGATTACAACATTACCTCTTGCATATGTCGAAATTACTACATAAATCATCCAAAATATTTAAAATTCTTGCAAATGTCTAGTGAGAACAAATAATCAAAGAAAACGTTAAAGAATACCTTAACTTACTGATTTTTGTTCAACTCACACGAAACCTAGGGCAGCCGGCGGCGTGAGATTCGGAGTGAGATCGACGACGGCAAGTCACAGCAAAGGTTGACTGAGCGAGAGGCGGCCGGTGTGGGCTCGGCGGTCGGAGATACTTCGTCGGCGGCGACCAACGGAGCGCGATCCAGATGCGGGCGGAGGCGACGGGAGAGCGACCAAAACGAGAGAGAGAAGGAGAGAATAGAAATGAAATGCGAGTTGCGGGTCTGTTCGTTTTAGGGCATTTACCGGCAGTCTTCCGGCGGTCCTGACCGCCGGTACCATTATAACTTATCAGCGGCGGTGCAGCCGCCGTTAAACCGCCGATTTTATATATACGTCCGGCGGTTTGCCGACGGTTTATAGACTGTCGCTAGTACCGACGGCTTTACAGAACAAACCCACCGGTAGGCCGCCGGTAAATGCCGGCGGCGAAACCGCCGGCCAAACTGCCGGTCAATAAACCGCCGGTCAATAAACCGCCGGTAATCGGCATTTTTCCTGTAGTGCAACCATCATTGCTTGGGAATTGTGAGACCTGGTTCCCTTACTGTTCCTCTCTAGCTTGGATTTTCCTCCCAGGATCGTCCGGGACGATAGTGAGATCGGCCAGGCCGATCTGCACTGTTCAAAATACCGTCCTGAGATAAGTTCTGAGAACCGTCCAGGACGATCGATTTTAGTCTGATCGTCCCGGGACGATTTGGCGATCGGCCGGGCCGATCAGCTTAAGGATATATGAAAATCAGCTCGTTTTGAGGAGAGAGAAAATCATTTTAAAACAAAATATCTGATTTGAGGAGAGAGAAAGAGAAAGGGAAAAGAGGAAAAGCTGGATTTTGGAGGCCGCGGAGCGCTTTTCGTCCGACGCTGCTGTTGGAAAAAGTGTAGATCTCGTGGTAAGGACTCCGAATCCTATTTCTGTTTTCAAAGATATTGTGTTTTGACCGAGTTGTGATCTGTTTTGTGTTTTCGTAGTCGAATTTTGGACGTGATTTCGTTTTGGCACAACTTTCACCGCACAACTTTTAGTATGTTATAGATATGATTATTGTACACGATTTGAGTGTTTTCTGCGACGATTTTACCGGTCGAAATTGATTCTACGCGATTTTAATCGAATAGAAAATAATCAGGACTTGGTTTGATTTGGTTTCTATAGGATAATGGTCTTGTATTGATGTCATAGATATTCTACTGTAATTTGGAGAGATTTGAAATTTGTGCCTTTTTGCAGGATTTTTGTGTAAATTTGACCGACTGCCGTTACTCTGCCCGATTTTCGTACGATTTCCGATTTTCCCTGAATTGATAGATTGAATTGATATGTGCATGACCATTGATATGATTACTCTAGATTGCTTTAATATTGATTATTGCATTGATTATCGATTGATTATATGGATACTATTGATACGATAGATCCTGATATGTTATTGATATACATTGATTCGTCGTAATGATTGATTGAATGGATTGTTGCCGTATGGATTTGATTTATCGTAGAATAGATTTCTTTATGGAGCTGATTGTATTGATTTCAATTGACCTGACGATTTCATTGTATAGAGGTTGATTTATTGAGTTGATTCGATTGTTTTATGGATTTCCCTGCTGATAGATATATTGACTGGAAAGTGCTCTATTGATTGAGATGATTTCCCTATTGTAGCATCGTACGTCGTCATTATTGAATTGTCCTCGCTGCCGTGGTGTCATTGAATATTGTATATTGATATCGAGTAAATCGTATTGAATAATTGGATTGACTGATTTGCAAGAGTATTGACTGATTTGATAGATGATATAGATACAACGGATTGACTAGACGACACGATTGATTGAATTGATAGTATTGACTGATAGACACTGCTACGATGATTGGATATTGACTAGAATCACTTATTGATTTGATTGCTGAGACGTATTGATTTATCGATGTTTTTACCGCTGTATTGATTATTCATTATTGATTTTCGTACTGCATTGACTACTGATTTGATTTCCGCTGTGCAGACTTGATTTCATTGACTATGGATTTCCATATTGCATAGATTCATTGACCATTGATTGACTTGATTTTATTGACCTGCATATTGATAGCATCGCCGTGCTTTGATTTCAGTTGTAGGCTTTGGTGACCTGCTGGGCTTTGTAAGCTCATTATATGTGGTTGAAATTTTCAGGTCCGAGCAAGGCAACTGGAATGGAGTTCGATCAGAATGTTAGACGAATCCTTTCACTATTGATTCTGGGGCATCACAGGAATGGTCATATAACCACCATCACCCAGCCATGACCCGCCATCACCTAACCTCAGTCCTCTTATCATAATCACACGATTATGATCATCTAACCAATACGGCCCTAGTACAAGCCTTGTACCACCATTGCCTAACTATGATTCTCTGACTATCAACACTCGACTAGAATCATATGATCACCATCACTCGACCACAATCTTTCTACCACCATTGTCCGACCATGATCCTCTAACCACTATCATTTGACTTTGATCCATGAAATACTATCATATGACTTTGACCTCATGCGTACTCAATCAGCCAATTATGATCATCTGGTCATTATCTCGAAACTTTAGTCCTCTAATAACCATCATTCGACTACAGTAATTTTCATGGTCCAACTATAATTTTAGGACCACAATCACAAAATTATATTCATCAATTGTATCAAATTTTAATTTTATTTTGCATATTTAGTTGTTTTGCTTGTTTCCACTGTTTGATGCAGTTCATGATTTTTTTTTTTTTTTTTTGAAAACAAAACCATTTTACTTAGATTTTTTAACTCCAAGTATTTTACCTCAATTTTTCATCAAATTTTTTTATGGGAAAAAAGTTTTTGATCATCTCTCACATGGTTGAACTGAACCACCTTCCAGACCGGACGTATGACAGCACGCATATCCCACTTGAAGATCCTATAGATCAAATCAAAGAATAATGACAAAAATATGATTCTTTTAAAGCCCTGTCGTGCATATCATTTTGTGTAATAAGAGAGAGAGAGAGAAGAGAGAGAAAGAAATAGAAGTGTAGTTGAAACATTTCTCTTTCTCTCTCTATATAATAGGAATTCAATTATAAAATCTTAGTAATAACTTTCAAAATTTTCATTAAATAAATAAACTAATTTGCATTTATAATATTCATAGTCTCTCTCTATCATTCTCTTCTCTATGTTTCTGCAATATCAGAGGTTGGGATATTCTAATCTGATTTTAACAAGCATAGTTTGAAAAATTGTCCCTGATTGCATAAAATTATTTAAATAATTCATTGTTTTATAATATATTTTATTATTTTTAAAGATATCTTCAAATAAAAATTATATAATTTTTTATTATTTAAATTTAATAGTTTGCAATCAGGACTATTTTATCTGATGCAGTTCATCTGGATCTATTGATTGGGAGCTTTGACTATAAATCAAAAAGTCTTGAGTTCAAATCCTACATATATGATGTGCGTGTGAATTGAGAAATTATTACGCGCGGAGTCCAGACATCCGAACTCCAATCAGAATTAGCCACATTTCCTGCACACTGTAGTACAATTTGTTGCGTGCAAATTGTACACAATGTGTGTACATGCTGTTGTGGCCTATACGGATTAAAGTTCGGACGCAAGTTGTGCCTTTACGCCGCACGTAATAATTTCTCAGGTGAAGTTGCCTTAATTGACCTAAATATAGCCAAAAACTCCACTGTGAATTTGAAACGCATCAGCTAATAGCCATATATCTTGCAGCCCTTTAACTTGCCAATCTTAACGCTGGAGATAAATCCATTAAAAACAACTTTAGGGCATAAATTTTATTATTAAAACCGTGCCAAACGATTTATTGATACTAACCCAAAACTCCACTGTGAAAGTAAAAGGCAAAACCGCCAAGCAAATTAGTTTGAGACCATTTTTTTGCTCTTTTATTTTTCATACAATAGTTATAATTTTATTTGTTTACCACTTTCTTATTATTATTTTTACTATTTTTCAGAAATTTTATGTTAAAAATTTAATTTTTTTTAATATAATAGCTAAGGGATATTTGATTGCCTAAAAAAGGAATATAATATATAAGGAATGCTATGTAAAATGAATATTTTGGAATATATTAGATGAGTGTAAACTAAATAAATAATATTACTTTGTTTGTTTGGTTTAAAGTAAAATGAATGAAATGTAAAATGCAACAAGGTAGTAGTTAGTAGTGGTTGACGACAGCCAGGTGGCAGTGGTGGAGACTATAGCGAGCAATGATCGACGGCCGACGCGTAACGGCGGCCTTCGGCAACAATCGCAATGAATTTTTAATGTATTTAAAACTCGTCCAAATTACAAGAATTTCAAATACACAAAAATAAATAAATGATAATTTCAGATGGATAAAAAATTTACACTGCATTTATTTTACTTTAAACCAAACATCAATATTTTTAAAACCCCTATGTTTGAAATATTTTACTCCCTTTGCATGCAACCAAATAGCACCTAAATCAATTTTATCATAACAACTTCACAACCAATTTTCTAAAATGCCAGAGTTGTCGGAAACATAGACATAGCGATAGGTAGAAAGAGAGAGCTAAATATGACAATCTAGTTGATGCCGGCCATATTTTCTTTCATTTAGAACCGAATAATTATTTATTTATATGTTATTTTAATAAGAATTTAATTGCTAATTAAACTAATAATTATCTAATTAATTATTTAATTATCACTAATATAAAGAAATATTTATTTATTTGAATTTCATTTTAATGAGTTATTAATAACTAATTATACTATTAACTATTACCTTGTTATATTTAAATACTATTTATTTTTCTCTTCTTCACCTCTCTACTGTCTGACTTCATAAAAATTATTAGGTGCGGAGTGTGCACCATCCGCACAAAAGTACCTAGCGGTATCGAGTGCGGGTACCGCTCGGTACCCAATATTTGTGCGGACGGGGAGAACCGTCCGCACTCCGCACCTAATAATCTCTCCCGACTTCACCTGCTCCACGTGACATGCAGTTTTACCAAGTTCCATTCTTTACCTCCGAAGACGTTCCTTCCACTCCTAATGGGATTGTTACTTTGCCTAAGTTTAAATGTTCATAAAAACAATAAATTTCATTCTCAGATCCCAATGAAATGGAAAAGAACAAGTATTGCTTGATAAAGGACTGGACAAGAACAGATGAAATGCATCAATGACGCTAGCAATTGAACTGGATAAACAAGCTAAGCTCCCAGAATTCTTGATGACTTCATTTACAGATTACTATAATATACTTGAGAGATCGATACAGTTACTGTTTTTCTTGCTTGAAATCGATAAAATTACTGTTTTCTTTACAAATAAAACAGAGTCCGGCAATGATGCAGTAGTAGCACATAATCGCTTGATCAGAATCACTTTCACAGTCCAATTTTCAAGCATAAATGGAGGAGCATGCTACAGCCATGAAGAAGGGGATGTGAGAAAGGTCATGGGATTCTTACACTTTGTCATCATGAAACCACCATCTTGTCTCCTTAGGAGATCTGCCATTCTTGCAGTTCTTCACATAGCGGTCATTGTCTTCTGGGCGTTGCTGAAGAAACAAAAGTTTCAGATAGTGTCAAATCAAATAAAGTTGTGAAGATAACTAATCACAACTATACAATTAGTTAAATGTTTCGATACCTTAACCGTGGAGCTTGATAGCATGGATAGAATGCTAATGCAGACGGAACTTACAGTCATTGCTGGAGACCATGAATCGTACAAAATATCTGCCAGATGATAAGCAACACAATCTTAAACAGATAAGAAGGAACTTTGGCTGACAATTGCATACAGGATGAGTAGGTTAATCCTCAAGCTAAAAACCATAAAGTGGAAATGTTTTCATTCATAGCTTGTTTGGAATTGAAAATGTAGATCTTTCTAGGATAGCTAACAATGCATTTTAAATGATGTTTTTATTTGTTAAATTATGCGCGTTTGATTGAAATGGAACAAATTGTTAACTATTTCAAGCAAGAATAGAAAACAATGTGTTGATGCTAGATTTTGTTGCTGAATTTAAGGAAATAATAGTCACGATTGAAAAAAAAAGTAGATTCTGATGCAAGTTAATCAATAATGGAAAAAACATCACATTTTTGCAAGAGTAAGACTACACCGCCCCACCCATAGCCATGAAAAACATCCGTATGGGTTGACAGTTGCATTAGCATGAATGAACTACGTGGAATACACAATCACATTAGTTATTAAACTCTCTCACCCTTAACATAGCATTTCCTTAAAAATAAATGGATATACAACAACAACAACAACAACAACAAAATCAAGTCTACATGAATCCTTTTTCTCCATTGTGCCATATTAAAAGTTAAATTCTCATTTAAATCTAATAAAGAAATGTCATTTCTAATATTTTATAACCAAGTCTTTTTAAGTCGACCTCTACCCTTCTTAACATAAGTCAAATCTAATGCATGTACTTTCCTAACCGGGTCATTGGAAGGACGCCGTTTTATGTGGCCAAACCATGTAAGACGACTCTCTCTAATCTTATCTTCCATTGGAGCTACTCCAACCTTTTCACGGATATCCTCATTTTGTATCCTGTCTCTAAGAGCATCCTCATCTTTGCAACACTTAACTTAACATTATTGTTCTCTTTTAATGGCCAACATTTTGCATCATAAAGCATTGCAGGTCTAACCACCATCTTATAGAGTTCTCTTAAGTTTGAGGTGAACTTTTCTATCACGCAACAAGTCCGATGCATTCCTCCACTTCAACCATCCAACTTGAATTCTAATAATAATATCCCCATCTATTTAACCATCACTCTGAACAATATATCCAAGATATCTAAAACATGTACTCTTATTAATGACTTGATCACCCAAAATCATAATCCCCCACTAAAACTATTATTACTAAAATTACATTCAACATATTCAATTTTAGATTTACTCAAACGAAAGACTTTAGACTCTAAGGTTGACCTCCATAATTCAACAAATGGATATACAGGCTAACTTAAAAGTAGTAAATATCAAAAAGATAATTTTTTGAAGTCATGTCTAACTCTCATGGTTTTTGAAAGATACATATTTCAAGTAGATTGGAAAAAATATTTATTTGCAATATAATACACTAACATCTCTCAACATAGCATTTCCTTTAAAAGAAATGGACATGCAAGCTGACTTAAAAGTGGTAAATATCAAAAAGATAATTTTATGAAGTCATGTCTAACTCTCATGGTTTTTGAAAGATACTTACATTTCAAGTAGATCAAAAAAAATATTTCTTTGCAATATAATACACTGACATAAATAAAAATCATAAGAGACACATTAAGTACCACTGATTCATTAGTGTAATTTGATACCTTAGTGTCCAAGACTCCTAGTTTTTGAAAGATTTTTATATTTCAAATAGCTTGGAAAATATTTCACTACAATATAATACACCAACACAATAAAGTCATAAAAGAAGCATATTTTAAACATTAAGTACCACTGATTAATTAATATAATTTGATACATTAGAATTTAGTCAGATTAAATAAGCATTTGAAATATTCTAAGCATAAAAACTATTTCAATCAGCAGTTTTTGCTGTAGATAAATCAAATTCAACATATAGAAAATTTTCCTATAATTAACTAAGGAAAATAAAAAGAAACAAAAATAATACACATGCCAATTCAAGTATGCAACATGTCAATAAAATTATGCCTCATCAACTCAATTAGACTACATGTTAGTCGGCTTTTGCTAGAGTATTTCTCTCAAACAGCTCACAGAAGGTAATAATAATAATAATAATAATAATAATAATAATAATAATAATAATAATAATAATAATAAGTTACTAAATCTTACACATGCCACTTAGCAAAGATGAAGCTTGACGAAAATAGCAAAGGCTATGTTACACCTTGTCATTTGAAACATAATAGAAAAAACAAACGATCAATTTGTTATGTAGTGATGTAATGGAAATTTCAAAAATTAAATAAAATAAAGCCAGAATATTCATCACCACCATTAAATTTAATATATATCATATATTATTTTCTAGCAAATTACATTGTGTGCGTGTATACATATTGAAAGCAAATGTTGTTTTAAAATATCGAAAAGGAAATAACAATACAACTAACATACAAACCCTTAAAATTAAAAAAAAAAACAATATTTTTTAAAAATATCAAAAAGGAAATACCAACACAATTAACATACCAACCCTTAAAATAAAAAGTAAGACGAAGAAGTTAAGGTCGGTCAATCCCAAATTGAGTCAAGTCAATGTCGAAAGCATATATTTGGCACATTTCCAATCTAATCTACTCATGATACCTTTGATGAAGAAACCCGTGATTGCTAATAAAGCACCCTGGACATTATGACTGAAAAAACCCTATGTCGAGAGACTAAATTCATTCGTATACTTGGATAACATAGTCATAGGATCTTGATTGTTTCCATCTCCATTACCCTAACAATTCCCCACAAAATTAAATTCATTTCTAAATGTTAAAACTAACTAAAATTGAGCCTAAGAACCCTCCATCAAAAGTGCTCTTCCATGAGCCAAAAGGATATTTAACAATGGAGGAAGACACCCATACAAAGTCTCAATCTTACATAAAAATAAACTCCACTCTAAACATCAAAGAAAATATAGTTAAACAAATATAATGTGCCTCAAAGAAAAGTGCTCCCGAGTCTTTCTCTCATTTATACATTGAGGCTCGTACGGGGAGGGGGTGTAATTTTCTTGAGCGATCAATCCATCCTTTGCCAAAACTAGGTGTGATGGCACAAATCCAATTCATGCCTAATAAGAGCAATTATTAATGCTTCAGCTAAATATTTCTTTCAAAATTTATATTAATTCCTACAAAAAATAGATTGAAACTGTCCACAATAAGTCCTAGCAATTAAAAAAAAGACCTCATCTCAATCGTTCAATCATAATCAAACAATATGGGTAGGCAGTTAGAGAATTAACTTTGGAATGATGTGCAACTTCTACATATAAAGTAAGTGCTTCTTAAACAAGACATTCACATGGATATTACATTATTCTAATCTGCAAAAGGACTCGTACCACATACTTGCTTCCTCCGTGAATTAATATAGGTTCTGTTGTGCTTCTACGAAACTAATGCAATAAATTAAAGCTTTACTTACTAAAATTTAAACATACTTAACAGTTCACTGTAAAAATTTAATGCAACAAAATAACATAACCGTGCATCAACATTAATACTTCTATAAAACTTCTATCATTTTTGTGCTTTTCATAGTCCAATCCAACACATTTATGCGTTGTGCCTTTGTTTATAACAATTATTAGTAGTAAAAGTTCATACTATAAATTATAGTAAGGAATTTCACAGATTTAATTAACTTGATTGTTTCTTAATATTTAATTCTCTTAATGTTCTCTTCGATATGCATGAACCAATAACAACCACAAGCCTTTATCCCATTAAGCAGGGTCAGCAACATAAGTCCTTTTTCTCCGATGTGTCCAATTAAGAGTCAAATTTACATTTAAATCTAATTAAAAAAAAAAAAGATCATTTAAATATAATGAACCAATGCATATCTTTAAAATATACTCTAAATAGATTTCAATGCAGTGCTTTCCATTTTTTCTTTTTCTTTTGTTCAATTTTAAATTTTGAATGCACGTCTCAAAGCAAGTAAAATAGAATAATGAAATATATATCATAGGATAATCTTTGGGAACAAAATGTATGATAAATTTATAACATTTTTTTCTATCCAATAAAAGTTATACATAACATGAAAAAAAGATTACTTAAATCAACAATCGCTTACACTACAAATCTTAATCATACTGTTAGACCAGTCCAACTAGGATCGACTTGGGTATACAAGAGGTGAAGCAAGGGAGTTCCGCCCCAGCCTTGCCGCCTCCTTGAGGGTGGGGTCCACAAGCCCAATTAAGGGAGAATTAAGGGGGAATTTAGGAGAAAATTTTCAAATAGAGGGGGCTCTTTGGTAATAAGAGGGAATTAATGTTTGTTTAAGAGCGAATTACTTCTAGGTTTTATTTTTCATCTCTGTTTTTGCTAAAATTTGAGGTTCTTAGTTCTTGTTTGGGCTTTAGCAGCGTCTAGAGATTTGGGAGAGCTAGAGAGCTAGATCTTCCTCTCCAATAGAAGATCAATTATATCTTGTGTTGTTTTTCTACTATTATTAATTAAAAAATGTTTATTTCTTGTTATTCTTCCATGTTTATCTCAAAATATGTTTTTGAGAGGTGTAGATATTCAAATTTAGCCGGGGGAACTCTTGATTTATACAAGCGTTTCCTATCAAATTGATATCAGAGTATCAATTTGTGGTACCTAAAAGGATGTATGGGAAAGAGAGATGAGAAATTTAAAATCAGATTTTGTGAAAAAGGTTTTTGAATTTGAAAATCAATTGTCAACCGTCCATAAAAAGATGGATGGGAAGTTTACCGTTGTGAAAGAAATGTTGAGGAAGCTGTTTGAGGATCAAACCCAAAACGACGACATCAGAGACAAACTGAGCCATCGGCTGCCAAGGAAATAGTGGAAACTCTAATCCACTAAAGAGGGGAAAATTGAGAGGTGGAGATTTTGGAGGGGGAAGATGGGATGCCTCCCCTAGAGCCTATTCTAGGGAGGAGATGAGTAGTATGTATGAACGGATGGGTGCTGATTTTGCAAGATGAGGGGCTGATTTTGAGCATAGAGGTGAGG